ATTTTGTCTGTTTATATAATTAAATAAATTCTGAAAGGTGTGTTGCGGGAAATTTTTAAACTTTCATATAAAATCATTATAATTTAGTGCAGCTCTTTCACGTACTGCACACCTTCAGTAATTATACTAATATTCATTATTGCTATAATAATTATAGTAATAAATAATAGTAATAGTAATAATGGATGGATACAAAGTTATTAAATGACAAAGTGACAGCTTGAGCCATATTAGTTAATTGCATTGATTTAGGAGTGAGGGTAGAAAGTTAATCACATGGGAAAAAAGTGAATAAATTAATTGGTTGTACTTTAGTGAATATGATCGATCAATATTTAGGAGAAGAAAAAAATAGGCGCCGCGAAAGGAAATTTGAGACAAGTAAAGCCACGTTTTATATAAGATTGAAAATGGTATACGTTGGTTTTGAACCGAGTTTAGTTCGACTTATTATTCAATTTGTTAAAATTTTAATGTATTAGATTTTTGTCTAATTTGAAAATTCATTGTCAAACTGATATGAACCGATCCGTCTATTTATGAGTTGGATTGGGTTGAATTTGTGGGTTTTGTTTTAAATAAAAAATATTTTTTTTATAATTTTTTTTTGTCGAGTTAAATATATATGGGGAGAGAAAGAAAAGTCAGCTTCAAAAGAGAGAAAAGAAGAGAGAAATTCGCGTTTTCTTGCAACCAGCCTGAGTTAAACAATGACTTTTGGGTCTAGCTCATTTTTGGAGGGCATATTTATAACACTTGTGTTTATCTTTTGACCGCTAGAGTCTTCAAAATGAAGTGTGGCTAAAAGATATAGACTTCACATTAAAGCTGCAAATTTGAGTATTTTTCATTTTATTGTTTTTTATTTATAAGCTAATTTGCTTTTTAGCACTAGTTTGTGCATTACTTTGAGACTTGTACAATTATTTGATTATAGTGAAGTTATTCTTTATTTTTTTACAACCTATGGTTTTTTGCTCTCATATTGAGGATTTTTCGCATTAAAATATTGATGTTCTTTTATACATTTATTGTTCAGTTTGTTGTCATATATTTGTTGTTGATCCTCATTATTTCTTACAAGTTAGAAAATTTTATTTCTGTTGCGTATTGGTTTGTTATTGTATATATTAATTTTTCATTAGTGTGGTATCAAAGATCTTGGATAAGGGCTCTTTTAATTATTTGAATAATAGAGTCAAATACAAATATGAAGATGATATTGTTGAATGGTTCTAATTACCATATGTTTCTAATGAAGAATGGGAGTTTGAATATCTACTATATGTGGTTTTATTCGACAATACATAGAAGACAGTTTTAATAATCATATTGCTAACGAGACACGTGCAAAAACTTTGTGGGATAAGACATAGTCCTTGTATGCCTCTAAATCAGAGAATAATAAATTATTCTTGAAGATTAGCTTCATAATTTTAAAGTACAAGAATGAGACTTTTATTTCAAATCAATTGAGTGAATTTTAAGGGCTTCTTAATTAGATGTCAGGAATGGATATCAAATTCGATAGTGAACTTTTGGAACTATTTTTATTGTCATTACCAGATTTTTGGGAGACATTTCAGGTTTCTATCACAAGTTCTGCTCCTAGAGGTGTTGTTTCTTTGGAAAAGGCTAAGGATGGTATTCTTAACGAGGACATAAGAAAGAAGGCACACTGTTCTTCATCTTAATATGATGTACTTGTCATTGAAAATATGAGGAGAAGTCAGAAAAAAAGAACCAAATGGTGGTGGAGAGAATAACAAAAGCAAGTCCAAGTCGTGATACAAGAATTTGAAATGTCATTATTGTCACAAAATAGGACACATACAAAAGTATTTCTATTAGTGGAAAAGGGATAACAAAGGCAAGAAGGATAAATCTAAACAAAAAGGTGTAGATCATGATGATTATCGTATCATTACTGCTACTAGGGGTGACCTTGTTATTCTCTGTGATCACGAGTCTATTAATCTCGTGTTAGATGAGAGCGTGCGGATAACTAATAGTGGTGTTACATTGCATGTTACACCGAGGAAGAAGTTCTTCATATCTTATACTCCTTGTGAATTTAGAGTGTTGAATATGAGTAATCATGGTGTATCTAAGATAATGATGAATCACGTCTAATGTATCCATATCTTCTTGAGGAAGTCATGTGCTAGCTTGGGTGTATGTAGGTTGTTCAAAAAGAAATCTTCATGCCTGCTCCTTATGTTATGACCTATAGAGATGTGGATGCCATATATGATGATTTCCTTAATCATCTAATATCGGCTGAAGCATGAGGTGTTGTAGCTCCTAGCGAATGGAACACTAGATTTGGCTAGGTCTAATAATACTTTAGAGTACCAAATCCTTATATGACAGAGCTGCTCAATATCCACCTATCCATGTTCATCAGGAGATATTAGAGAAAAAGTAAGTTAGGGCAGATCATGTCATGGATGTGTTACCTGCATGTCATTGTATTATGGATCTTGTGCAATTGAGTATAGACAGAGGAGATTTTCTAAAAGGAACTTATGAGAGGGCCATTGTAGACGTCATTCCATCTGAGATACATACAACATTGATTTAGTATTAGAGTATATGGCATTTTTATCTTATTACATCAATGTATGATTTAATTGATACAAAAATATTATAATAGTATAATTATAATACATGGTCTATTACACCAGTGTATTTCTAAAAAAATGTCAATATTTACTAACTATATGATGAATACGTAAGTGTATATCCGTATTTTGATATGAGATTATTATGGAGATGCATCTCCGAACTCAATTCTAGCAAAAGAAAGTGTGACTCATTTACGAATAAATTGAGTGTATATGGGCACATTCAAAAGTATACTTCCGAATTAGAAAGAACAATTTCAAATTTCCATCAGGTGCTTCTCCACCACTAAAGGTGCAAGAAGTAAGAACCTTGAAATAAGGTAATTTCTTAATGCACCATCTATGTTTTTTAGCCACCACGTGAAAATACATAAATGCCCTAGATTTCGAAGATGCATTTTCGGGCACACCCAAGGCTCAGTTGACGTTAAAATATTTCGGAGATGCATCTCCGTAATATTTTAGAGGTTAAATCGCACAAACCCCTTCTCTTTTCTCATTTTTCATTTGCTCAAAACCAATTCAAACTTTCTCAAATTTTTTTCCTCATCACCAAGTCAAAAATAAATCAACAAAGCTCAAGGGAACTTCAATCAACCTCAAAAACATCATCCAACCCTGAAGGAAAGTTGAAATTTGTAAGTTTTTTTAGTTTTTGAATTTTTGTGTAAATGAGTAGAAATTAAGGATGATAGTTTAGATATAGTGTATTACATGTTTGTTGGCTGAAAAGGATGATAAAATTATTTTTTTGGATTGCATGGGGTACTTTGTCGCCATTGACGCAGCTGTTGAGTTGTAGAAAATTCTGGAGATGCATCTCTAAATATTTTCAACGTTTTAGTTTCCTAGAGTCCGGAGATGCATCTCTAGAATTTTCTCAATATTTTTTTTATTTTCTTGCTTGTTGCGTTGTTTGTCTACACTAATTGTTTATTTTACTTTAACTTACAAGCAGAATGGCTGATAGACATGATAGAATGAGCACAAGAGGGTTGCATAACACGCATCAGTGCGGCGGGAGAAGAGTCAACAAGTTTTGGAGGCTCCTGGCTCCTCTGGCGATGCAGAACTATCTATTTCTAAGGATCGTGTTTCTCCTCATGCTATACTCCATATTATTTTTCCCATAGGAGATGAGATTCACCTATTGACGCATCACTCCCTCCATCCTCATACAAACATCAGGTTTCCCCTATTCAGGCGCCTGAGGTACCTGATTCACCCGTGCCACCTCCTACTGTTGATGACATGTTTGATGATTATGAGAGTCTTCTGGTACAAAAGAATGTACGAAGTACCATAGCTGTGAGCGACTGGAGCTACGTCGACGAGTATATTAGACGGTTCTTTAGGGAGTCACATCCATACATGGTGCATGTTGCTCCAGTAGATCCGTAGAGGTTAGCTCACCAAGAGATACTAAAGGAGAAACAAACACAATTAGATCATGCTAAGGATGTCTTGCCTAGATGTCGTCGCATAATTGAGATTGTGCAGGAAGGCATTGGCACAAGTATCATCCCTGATGGGTCTGATGTAAGGCAGATCCTAAATACCATCATGACGGAGGCACGAGGGGGTTTAATGTATCAGAGACAACACCAGAGGACAAAAAGGAGGATTGATAACCGAGAAGGTAGATGAGACATATGAGATGTAGTCAGATATACACAGTAGTGCATTAGTATATAGTAGTAGTACTATGAATTGTAATTTTTTTTTAACATCATGCTACTTTATCATTGTTCTTGACTTTTTTTAAAACATTTATTGGTCTTTTATTTATATATACTTTTTGACCAACTGGATTAATATACATCATTTTTTGCATTTCGATTTTATGGTTTAAATCTGCATCAAAATACACGTAACCAAAATATAACATGAAGAGTTCTGTTCTGATACGTTACGGAGATGTATCTTCATAAAATTTACGAAGATACATCTCCGGCACAATACACGTGTATAATGGCTTATGAGTGTGATGCATAATATATGTTTGAAATTGTTACGGAAATGCATCTCTGAAATATTTTAACGTTTAATTATAATTTGGTGCGTTCGAAAATACATCTTAGAAATCTAAGAACATTTATGTATTTGTGTGTAGTGCTTAAGAAATATAAATGGTGCATTAAAAAATTCCCTGAAATAAAGGCATGAAGTCCAATTCTTTTAACAATCAAACCAAATTATTGTGTCTGGCCCAATAAGAAAGGCCCAATATAAAAGAGGAAGTACACTGTGTATAGAAGTTCCTCAACTCAACCAAACCAACGCATAACATAACTACAGCATTCTTCGGTAAACAACTCTGTTAGGGTTTTGAATCAAAACATCATCGTATCTTCCACCAGGAAAGACAGAGTAATGGAAGTCATAACTGAAGGAGTAAACAACATCAACATTAATAACTCCGATTCTTACAAGAAGAATCGCATTCAAGTTTCTAACACCAAGAAACCCCTCTTCTTCTATGTTAATCTCGCCAAGGTTTCAAAATTTCCATCTTTTTCTATTTTATTTTATATTTTACATAGAGTTTTCTTGATGTATTGATTTTTTGTTATTGTAGAGATACATGCAACAGCATAACGAGGTGGAACTCTCAGCACTAGGAATGGGTATTCAAATCCTTCTATTTAACTTTTTTTTTGTAACTAATTGAACCTGATTGTGTTGCTATTTTAAGAATGTTTTTTTTACTACTGATTAGGTTTATTTGTGTTTTGTGATTTTATAAATTGTTCTGTTTTTCTTTTCCTGCTTACAATTTCAATAAGATTTCTGATTTTTTTTTCCATGTCTTTGTTACAGCTATTGCTACTGTAGTAACTGTTGCTGAGATTTTGAAAAATAACGGACTTGCCGTCGAAAAGAGTGAGATACTAAGTTTTTGTTTTCTTCTTTCATTTGGGGGAATGTTTTTTCTTCTCCCTTGATAAGCTCTCTAGTGGCTGAGTTCTGTGATTTGATTAATGTTTTGAAACTTGATGCAGAAATCATGACATCAACAGTTGATATAAAGGATGATTCTAGAGGTAGACCTGTCCAGAAGGCCAAGGTAGGTGAAAACAGTCTCTTTCTGAGATGTAGTATTCTTTCTAGTGTCTAAACTGTTTTTAAGTTGTACATTTGATGAATTGTGTTTTAGATTGAAATAGTACTTGGAAAGACAGAGAATTTTGATGAGCTGATGGCAGCTGCAGCTGCTGAAGATGGTGAAAATGGAGATGCTGAAGAACAGAGTGCTTAAAACACAGACAAAACTACATATGAATCGTTTGAAGATATGTAATCTTTAATGATTTGCATTTTTGTTGTTGCCATGTAGAAGACATCTCACATTATAAACTGACCTGTAATATTGAACTACAAAATTCCTTTGTTTCTATTCAGTATAAAGTAGGCTCTGATATATTGTTGTGTTCATTGGGAAGAAAGTTATGAAACTTCTATTCATTGAGAGAGGTTGTGAGAGTTTGAATGTTTTTAATATCATAAAGAATCATCATCAAATCAAATAACATACATTTGGTAAATCGATATTGTATGACTGAAATGTTTTGAATTAATGAAACTTGTCTAGGCACAAATTATATCTCTAGTGCATGATTTGAGATTAATAACATTGTTTGGAACCAAAAAATAAGAACTTGTTGACGTTCATCGACTATAATATAACCATTTTTGTCCTTGTCAAAATATCAGAATGCTGTAATGAGAATCTCCTCATGCTCCAGTTTGTTGATTGAGATGAACTGCAGCAGCAATAAATTCCATATAAGTTCACGGCATGCAACAACCGTAACTATAACTACTTATGTATGCATCAAGAAACAAGACCTATCATTTTCTACAATAAGGTTTTTGAATTTTGCCAATGCAAGGTATCAAAAGATTACATATCAAACTTCCACAGATTCCATCAAATATATCAAACACAAGTGAAAATAAGAAAATCTATATTAGTCACTACTAGCCAGTAGCTATCATGAAAACGACATTATTTGAATGTGTTTACACCTTCATTTCAGCCAGTGAATCATGTTCTAGACTTCAAGGCATCAAAACTAAAAATTGATTTAATTCAAAGTGCCTTTGTAGCAAATACTCACAACACTATATCACTGAGGTATTCAATAACAAAAAAAAATCTGCTAAACTTCTGAACTTCGGTTCCCACCAGCTCTTCAACCCAATATATCAGCTCCTTCACAAACACTGTTGGAGATACCATAGTCACTCTCTTTCCGCTTTGCAATTTCATGTGTCTTTTAACCATAATTTATCAACAAATGCTAAACCCAAATTAGAAATTCAAAATTTTCTTCTACTTCACCCCATAACATTGCACGCCACAAATACCTTATGCGCGTCTTTGATGTCATCTTATACCCACTACTTTGCTTTCCCCCATTCCATTGGTATGCATAACCTCTCAAACCAAACCAACAATAGCTTTACCCAAGTTGACTTCCTTAATTTCCTCTCTGAAAGAAATGGCTTGAAAACTCTGGACCCATTGGTAAAACACAATCTATTTTGTTCTGATAGTTATTAGTTTTGGTAAGTCGTAATAAGATAAGTGAAAGAAGTTGTGTTTATTAAACTGTCAAGCCTTTATAGTCCATTAGAAGAATTGGGTTCGAGTCCCATAGCCCCAATGTGTCGAAATATCATGATTGGTCGACCAGACCAGGCCGTTCTAATTTGGAAGGCCCAAGACCACTCACGAATTTGGAATATACAGAAAACAGCTGAATGGATTGGTGTTTCAGAAAACAAATTCCAAAATTACGAGCCTTGACAATGCACATTTGTTATTTAACACCAGCAACAATCAAAGTTGTGAATTGAAGATCAGGAACTTATAATCAGACCTAGATATATTGTAGATTTGCATGCAAACTACTCTTGAAATGCACAATGAATAAAGTAGACAGGTAAGGGTACTTCAGGTCATGCGAACATTATCTAAAATACACAGGAAAGCTGACAACATAAAGAAAACTCAATTTGCAATGGTGATACCTTGGAAGTAATGTTGGACATCGAAATGTTATGAAGTTGCTCCAGTTTCAGTTGCTACAGCCTACGGTCTTTGCGAGTATTGTTTTTCCCGTATCAGGGAGTCTGAAAAGCAATATTCTCTTACAAGGCTATATTCAAATAAATTAAACATTAAGGTGCTGATTCTACAGACATTGCATGATTGCATGATATACTAAATATTGTGTTTCATGAGTTATTTAAAAGTAACAAGAAATATTTCCACCTTAGTTAACTGTCCCTTACAGAACAGTTCAGGCCTTTTAAGAGGAAGCATGACCAATTCCTTCAAGGTGTCCTTCACATTTTATAAAGCTCCATATCATCATCACCAAGCAATTTTTTCTCAAATTCATTCTCAGTAACCACATCCTGGAGTAATGATTCAATAATTACGGGTATTTATTCCATGATTCAAATCATTGTGTAAAGAAACTAGATGAACCCAAGAGCACTTGGATGAGATGGTGGAGTATCTTCCAACTTAACCAGAGGTCTTTGGTGCGAACTCAGTCCTGGGCACGCAACACTGTTAAATCTCTTGAGGGAGAGCTTTGCCGCTTTTTGTGGTCCTGCGCAGCTCGAGGGATTAGTTTATCTAGTTACACGCAGAAGATACAGGTTTATATTAAAAATAAAATAAAAACCTAGAAGAAAGTATCGCAAAATGCTCATTCCACAAAATAGGGTGGAAATTGCATTAATTACCTTCCGTGGGCTTTTTTTACGCTCTTGTTCTCATTTTGGATGCCTTGAAGAATGTCAAACCCATACTTAATGCTGCACAAATAAAATGTAAAACAATGTTACATATATTTTTTTTGGCTCAATCTATTAGGGTTGACTTTATGAAAATATCCAAAAATGTCAAGAAAAACCTTTCTGCAGTTATCACACGTTTTAATTCTTTGGTAGAAGCTTCAAATGAATGTATAAAATGATAACTTATAGCCCAGCGAGCCAATGATCTTCTCCACATCTACTAAAAGTACTTTAATTATTATGCATTGACTCTTTGTTTCCTGTTGTCACCAAGCATTAAAAATATGGGCGTCCTTAAGTCTATGCAAATGTCATTTTGGCAATGCATTCATAAGACATATGAGACTGTTGGAGAATAACAATGTATCTTTGTGGAATTTCCAAATAAAGTAAGGGAATTTCTTCACTCCGTGCTTTACTGCAAGCTTGTAACCCGTTGATCTTTGTCTTGTTGATCAGAAAACTTGGAGTCTTCAATCAAGGTCTGTAAAATAAACGATGCTTCTGAGAGCCTTCCTTGATAAAGGTATTTGTCTAATTTCAGAGAGTACTCGAAAGCAGTTTGGAATTCAATCTTATTAATATCGCCGGATATAACGTCCTTCCACTCTTTTGACTTTCCTGTTTGACACAAGCCATGTAGCATGGCACTGAAACAGACAGAGTTCATAAGAAATCCCTTCCTCAGCATCTTAGTTTGCAACAACTGGGCAGTGTCAACCATTCCGTGCTTACAAAGACAGACAATAATAGAATTATAAGCAGCAATCACTTCACTCCATCCATCTGATATCATTGTTGCAAAGAAATCCAAAATCAAGGACTTGCCATTTTCCTCATTTTTTCTGATAAGAAATGTACTGTCTGTAATATTTGTTAAGCCATTTATGAGATAGTGGAATGTAGTATCATTTGGAACACAATTTCTAATCAGCATTAACTCAAAAAACGATGCAGCTTTTTCAGGTTTACCGGCCTTACAAAAACCACCAATAAGTATGGTGTATGTGACAACATTAGGCTCTAAATTAAAAGATTCCATCCCTATGAAAACTTTTTCAGCCCTGCTCATGTCTGCTTTCTTGCAGAATCCATTGATCAGGCAGGTGTAGGCAACTACATTTGGCTTGCATTTCTGTTTCATCATCTGTCCAAACATCTTGAGTGCACTATCTAAGTCATGTTGTTTTACATATCCATCTATAACTGTGGAATAAGTGTATTCATCAGGAGTATGATGCGCAACTTTCATCTTATTTAAGTATGATACAGCATCAGACATCTTTCCAAATTTACATAAACCCTTTATCATGACATTATACCCTACAATGCCAGGGTCTATACCCTTACTCATTACAACTTCAAAAAGCGTTGTTGCCTTATCAAGTTCATCGTTTCGAATAAACCCGTCTACCAAGGTGGCATAAACATGTGCATCAGGTTGCAAGTTTTGATCAAGCATTTCTGAAAGTAGTTGTTTGGCAGCAGGAAATCTTCCTTTCTTGCAGAGACCACTCATCAAAACATTGTAAATCTGAGCATCAGGAAATACACCCTTCTGAATCATTTTCTCTTGAACCATCAATGCAACATCAATTTCCCCAACAGTGACAATTCCATGGATAAAAGCTCCATAAGAAACCAAGTCCGGTTTACCTCCTGTTTCACTTTCAGCAATCTTAAAAAGAATATCCGATGCCATAACATAATCCCCTTGTTTACAGTAAGCATGCATGATGGGTGTATAACTATACTTATTAGGCAGCAATCTCCTTTCTTTCGCCCTCTCTATGAACTCTTCAGCTTCTTTAATCCTTCCATCGCTACACGAAGAGTTAATCAGAATATTATAAGTCGTAATATCTGGCTCACAACCAATCTCATCCATCCTTCTCAATGTCTCAGAAGCTTCTTCCACCAAACCATGCTTGTATTGAGCATCAATAATATTATTGAACACTAGTACATTCACATTCAATCCCATCACATTCATTTCTTTCAGAAGTTGATCAACTACTTGGAAATTCCCAACTTTACAAAATCCAGCAATCAAAGCCCCGTAAGTTTCTACCGTTGGCAAAAAACCCTTCAATTTCAATTCCTCTAGAACTTTAGTAGCACCTCTGAGATTACCCATCTTGCAATATCCATCAATGATCACATTATAAAACACTACATGAGGAACACAACCTTTTCCCCATCTATCATTAATCAACCTCCTACCTTCCTCAACCTTCCCAAGATCACACAAACCCTTCACCACAATTGAGGTACTATAGTTATCAACAACCACATCCATTCCATCATAACCACCCTTCTGAAGCATTTTATCATACATTTCAAGTGCAATATCAACTTTACCATTTTTCACCAAACAATTAAGCAATGAATTGTTAGCATAAACACTTGGAAAACAATTATGCAGTTCACGAACCGTATTGAACAACTGAAGAGCTCTATTAACAAACCCATGTTCAGCATACACACAAATAACATTGTCTAATGCTTCAAAGGTAGGTTTCAAGTTTTGAGCTTTCATACTCTCCAAGACCAATTCCATCTGCGAGAACACTCTGTACTTGGCCATGAGCTTGAGAAGAGAAGAATAAGCAACTCCATTAAGAGGAGAAGAAAAGGGTATAGTGGAAGCCCAGTCAAAGAACTTTAAACCAAGTTCAGGGTCATGAATTCGATCAATAACGAAATGGGCAACATCAGAAACAATGACTTCGGATTCAGCGAAGCGTGATTCGAGAGAGTCGCGACATTGATGGGTTTTGAGGATATGGATGACGTCGGTGATGAGGTTTTTGATGCGTGGAGGAAAAGAAGAAGAGGAAGCTTTGAGGCAGTGACGAGGTTTGATTCGAGAGAGAACAGCCTTGGACATTTGGGAAGTACGGTGCAGTAGTGGAGAAGGGGGAGAGTGGTTGGCAGTGCCGGCGAGGCTACCGCCGTATGGGAATCGCCGGTGGAGAAAGACTAGAGGGAGTAGGGATAGAGGCAGAACGAGAAAACCTTTCTTGGCAAGTCTCGTCGTATACACATAATACGAGTTTTTTTTCCTTTAATTTTTAATATGTTTCTCTTCATATTTATTATTATTTTAAGAATAATGCTAACATGTGCACCCTAAAAATGAAAAAATTTGTGTTAGGAAAATCAATGGAAAAATTTATGTTAGGAAAATCAATGGAAAAATTAAGAGTTAATATAAATTTTATTCTTGTCATTTTAACCGTCAGTCCTTCAACCAACAAGATATCATCTAGTTTTGGACCCCTAAGGCAATCTAGTTTTTCAGCACCTTTGATTTCTCCTCTAGCTCCATCACCAAATGTTACATGACTTGAGGAATGAGGTTTTATGTTTACCAAAATATTCTCTATTCCAGTCATGTGTCTGTTTCCCTTGAAAATCGGAAAACAACCGCTGATCTTTCAAATCTAACTTTAGTGACTCACAAGATCGATCAGATTGATCCTAGGATATGTGCTAAAAGTTTTTTGTTTTTGGAAATCTATCTAAGTTTCATACTTAGGCAGTATTGGGGTACAAGAATCTAAAGAAACACCTTGTTCGACTACGGAATAACTTAAAAGATAAAATAAAATTTTCAATAAAAGAAAGAAAAGAATGGAAATAAGGAAGAAGGGTGCAAAGAAAGTAAAAGACTTTGTAAAGTTTAAAGCAAGTAAAGTAAATTTCATTAAGATAAAAGATAGTGTGTTTACATCACGTACATTCTCTATAATACTCGCTTTCTCTACGCTCGAATACTTGGAGTAATTCTAAGAGTAACTTGTACAATGGTAAATTACAACACACTTATTCATGTCTAAGATATCCTATTTGTAATAGTAAAAAAATAACTTCTCCTAACCTTCAACATCACCACCTCTCGCCACTTGTCATAATGCATGGATCCACTGCTCATAAGGTGTCACGTGTCTTCTTAAGCATTTGGCAAACGAAACTGTTCCCTCCAAAAACCTTTGAATTTCAAACCTTCGACGAACCAACAACAACAACGAGCGGTCGAAGTTCTTGCTTTTCTTTCAATCTTGGTGAGTCCTTCGATTCCTTCCTTAGCCGCCTTACACCTTTCGACCAACTTTTATTCTCAGCCTGTTTCTGGCATTTCGTCTTGAATTCCTTTCTTCTGCAAGAGGCATCGAATTTAGGAGCTAACAAATTGCCCCCAAAAAATGTCTTTTCGACTTCTGATGTGGAAAAGCACATTTCTTGATAGCGTCTAATTTCGACGCCGCTTGTCCTCTTCATATGTGTCATCTGATGCTCTTTCCCCCAATACAAGTCTGGGAAAGTGAAAGGGAAGGAGGAGAAAAAAGAAAATAGAGAGGGACACGTAAGGTGTTGTTCCACCACCTTGATGCACGTTCCTGACGTTACTTTCATCATGGCGATTTTCTTGGGAACCACCAAAATCGTGGCCCATCATCACCTTTTCAGCCTAGGGGACGTGAATTGCAACTACTATATCTGCCACCCTACTCCAGGCGCACACGTGGTCCACTAACTCTGGCCTCTTAATGATGAAAACTCTCAATCTTCCATACTATATAAGCAATTCTCCTCTAATATTTTCATTTTTCCAACTTCTCTGACTCCTAACAACACTCTTGCATTTCTCTTCCTCCAATTTTCTATTCTACAAACCAACAAACTTTTCACTACTTTCAACAATGGTTGATCATCAAAAGAAGAAGATGCAACTCAAAGGGTAAGCTTATGCATCAACTCTCCCGCTCTTTGCCAGTTTGAGCGGTCCTAAGGTAATGAAGAACCAACAGTTCATTCGCGAACCCTTGTCAGAAGAGAAACACCACATTTATGAATCGCAAGTAATCATCCCAGTTACTGTTACAGGTAAACTCTTAGCCATGTCTGGCCCTTTGCCTCCTTTAGGTCTTGATTATTCTGCCATTAGAGATTTCTTTCCCTCCTACAGAGTCACCAAACCTTTAGGGCAAAAAGATTCTAGCAAAGTCTCCGCTGATGGCCCTGATAACCTAACTCTCTTCGACGTAAATCTCAGGTATCTCCATGATGGAGCCAGACTATTTAGGGCTACCCCCTACTTTAAAGATTCTGAACTTTACCTCAATTGGCTGGCAAAAATAGAGAAAGTGAAAGCCCAAGATTGGAAGGACACCGAGATTTATGATCTGATAATAATGTCGAAGGTATGCCCTACTTACTGCCCCCTTATGTTGGCTTCTTCCTTGTTTTTCTAGGACAGTACTCACAATACTTTCCACCTCCCCTGTGGGATGATGACACCCACCTTGTTTGATGTAGCTGCCATTGTGGGCCTAAAACCCCACGGTCTTGTTTACGACCCTGAAATTGATAGCCAAGACACCATAGTATTCGCCAACACCAAACATACTTACACAACCTTTGTTCAACACTATCATAACAAAACCAACAACTTTGTCAATAACGAGGAACATATAGCCTTTCTGGCCATGTGGTTATCTCGTTGCGTATTTTGTACAAAGTCTTTGCAGGTGGCACGAAAATACCTTGTGCTGGCCAACCAGTTGTGGCTTAATGCCACATTTGACACAACCTCCCCAACAGAGGCGAAGTCGATGAAGGTTCGTCTTCAGTTTCTGAGAGACGAGTAGAATGGCCTCGCTTGGCCCAGCTTACTCCTAGCGAAGAAGGACATACTCTTCGATCCAACTTATCCAACTTCATTCACATGTTCGCCAAACAGTACGAGTTCACCTCGAAGATGGCTCCCTTTGCAAAATGAAGATGTGGCCTAGAGTGGTTCACCAGGCCCTTCCTTGCTCCATTAAAGAAACAAGAAGAGGAATCGACGCTGATTTGGGAACGATTCCTCATACCTCGACTACTGGTTCACAAATTAAACCTTGTTAGAGGTCAGACCAACTTAGTAGCCTACCAACCAAACTTGGTGTCCAGGAAGTTTGGATTAATACAGACTTTGCCCAAGTGCCTATATGACAAGAAGTCACACATTATACTCCCTCTCGCGGTGCTTTCTCCCCTTGACTGTTCGACACCGTTGGAGCGCCATGCCCATAAGTCTTTCCTTACACCTGTCCATTTTGAACCCTCTTATTTCTGCTCCCAAGATTTATACGACTGGTGGTCAAAACATTATGCCTCAGAGTTTCTTGACGCTTCGAGTTTTGCTCACTTGATTGACCAAGCTTTCGTTGATGTGCAGGAGAAGATCAAGAAAGGTACGTCTACCCATATCAAAGAGATTCAAGCCTTCCAGAAGTACTTCGAAACTGCCTATCGACTAGATGATGTTAGTTAGACCATCCGTGAGGCTGCTGTCACTTTGAAGGAAAAGTTTTCTAAAAAATTGGACAATTTAAAGATTCCCTCTTCTGTTCCTCGTGAGAAACAGTATGAGGTTTCCTTTAAACTTTTTCCCCCAAAAGTCCCTCGACTACCAACTGCTGGTTTTGGCGTGGCTCTTGCCCCTCCATTCCCAGATTGGTTTATTTGTGGAGACGCTATAAAAATCCTTCGACATCAGTAGAAGCCCAAAGCGCAGCGGGTGGTCCTGACTAAACATACACTCGATACGTTTAAAGGGCACCTTCATGTTAGTATCAAAGATGCTCGCATCGAATCCGACATTCTTGAAGGTCCATCCCCCTTCGATTTGGACTTTCCTCCCTGAGCTTTATTGTTGCTAACCGATATTGGTCTTATTTATTTTTTCAGCTGCTCCAAAACGTGCTGCCCCAGCAACCAAGACTGAAGGCAAGTTCGAATACCAGAAGGTAATCCTTTGTAACTTTCTACTATTTCGACTTCCTCAATTACCTTTAACACTTTATGTTACTTTCAGGCTAGTCGAAAACCACCCACCCCACAAAAAAGGCTGAAAAGGGCTTCTGCCCAGATTATCATTGATTCTGATGATGAAGATGAATCTCCTTTCGAGAGTCTTCAAGTAAAAAGAAAACAAAAGATCACCCACGATGTGGATACTCCTGATGCTCCATCCGCTTCTCTTGCAACCAACATACCTCAAACTAACATTCCCCCGGAAGACCTTACCAAGGCTTCCACGGAAGATGCTTCGATCCAAACTGTTGTTCTTATGGAGAGTGACAACTCCAGCTCTGCTGATGAAAATGTCAAGGTATGTTGTGCATCTATCTTTCTTTGGGTCTTGCACTGATTTTTTGGTCCTACTCTTTTTGATGTCCATTTTTTTCCTAGGCTGATGCTGGGGCTCCAAAATCTGATCCGACGAAGCTCCCTCTATCACTCTATCCCTTGAATAGCCAAGGTGATCCTACCTATCACCCCACCTCTGATTTGGGTTCTGGTATGAGTTCTCTTGGTGAGATTAATAAATCTGATTCTTTCACAATCCCTCCTTCACCTGCGAAGACAACTACCCAACAGTCTCAGACTGATGGGTCTGACCACGAAGACAACAATATTTTGGTCGATCGTATTGTAGCAGATGATAAAGTCAACACTTTGGAGGGGGTACAAACTTGGTCGACACAAACAGTTCTCCCTTGGGTCAAACGATAGTTGTAGACGAAAAGGATGTCGAAGGTGATCATGCTATTGAAGATCAAGCCATGCACCAGTCTGAATTGAACGAGTCCAGCGACGAAGGTACTGGAGATGAAATGGAAGAAGATGGCGCAGAGGCAAAGGAAGGTCAAGATAAAGAATCAAAACCTATGGAAACTTCCGTCAAAAAAACCACCACTGCTGAAGTGATAAAGACTCTTGTTTCTTCTACCCCCAAGGACACTCAAACAATCCCTCTCCAAGGCAAAACTCAGCTTACCACAGCCGAACTTGATGCATTGAAGGTTTCAAACCCTCGACAATACATCAGGCTTCTCT